AGTATTTTGACTTCACAAACATCTAATTTGAATCAGTGCTGCATTCAACATCCCACGTGACACACAAAAATCGATGTTTATCTGTGCTACTTTGCTTTTGTTCTTGTTGCACCGTAGGAACTTTATCTGTTTACAGACCTGACATTTAATTGTTATCCCTCTAGCTTACTTAGTAGAGCACACTCTTGCATTTTACAGATCTCAGGTTTTACTCTGTGGTGAGGTATTTTCAGTGTCATGGATAATTTTATTGAGTTATGATGAACCATGGTGTACCAACAAATTCACTGATGATGTTCCTACTTTCATGTATCAGATGGTTGGTTCTATTCTACTTATTTCTTCTCCAGTTCAGGTTTTTAATCATTTTGTTTCTTTGCCTTCTGTGGAGCCTGCTTTGCCTATGGACAATTTTGGCCAGCTATCGCAACTCTGGCTTTTGTTTCTGACTCTTCACTCCCTGTTGAGGAAAGCTACTTTCTCTCTTTTTTTTTGGTTGATGAGCTCGTGAATCAAGTATTTGATATTCTATCTTTTTTACCTGAATAAAATAATGTCTTTCTGGTTGTCTTACTTTGTGTGCTCTTTATGTCACAGTTGTATGTTGTCCCACATTTTTATTGTCCTGTTCATCTTAGTGACTCCTTTGCTATGGCCTTTTTATATTTCTCGATCCCCTAACTCTTGTGTCCTTTCTTTCAGCTTGGGGTTCTCCTCTTTCTCATTCTTTGTGTTTCTCTCCAGCTATCTATTTGTTTTTTGCTATCTTTACCCTACTCCTTTATCTTTGCCCATCATCTCCTCGTGAAGGCTCCTCTTTATGACCCCAATAGTTTTGGTTGGGACACCTATAGTTTCCATTCATCATTTGTCTCCTGTCTTTTTTTTTAATATGTTTTCTTTGTTTTGGGATTTTGTCTGTCAGGTGTCTGCATCCTTTCCTCTTATATCCAGGATCTTCGTCTTTCCCATTTGTTTACAGGCCTGGTTTTTTCCCAACTCCTTGGAATCCCAGGCTTAGGCTAACTTGCCTACAATTTTCTGTTGTTTCTTTGATTTCTGACTCACTGGACCTCTGTCTGACACTCATCCACAAGAGTCATGTCTGGCTTACCGCTCTTCTGTTCTACATTTTCTCACTTCCGTTTATTGGCCCCCTATCCTGTATGGTTAGCCATTGTGTCTATCCTCAGTGACTCTTCTCTGGAATCAATCCTGGTCTCTCATCCCTTCGGTGCCTACCTATCCTACTTTACCCTCCTGTCTTCTTCCTTCTTTCCCATTGTCCTCTTTTTTATCTTCTTCCCACCGATTCTCTGTATCTTCAGGTGTCTTCTTTATTGTTGATGGGAGCTATAGAACAGGGCTTTTATTCCTGCCTTTTGGTTTCTACATGCAGTTGAGGGTTTGGTGCACTGTCATTGACTTGTTGCTTCTTAATCGCTTTTTCGTTGCTCCTCAGTTCTGGTTAGATGATTTTCTCAGTCTGCATTGGACCTTCTCTCTCAGGCTATGTTTAACTAAAGTAGACATTTCAAATGCCTTCCTTTATTTCCATTATTATGTGTGTTTGGCTTCTACTGGCAACAGCAATTAGCAATTGCTATCACCACTTGTCTTTTGGAGGCCTCTCAACTTGACTGTCTGGTTTTGCTTTCCAAGTTTGTTTTGATTCCCACTCAGTTTATGGTCCACATGAGGGTATTCCTCAAATCTCGTGGAGGGTGAGCTCAACCTTCTCCCTTGCATATTCATGACATGGAGATTTTGGTATCCAAGGCATTTCTCTCTCACATTTGGGGACTCTTGCTTCCCTAGGAGGCCAGATTCCTCTTAGTAATGCACAAATGTATTCCCTTCAGTGGGCAATATCTTATCTGTCCTTGAACCTTTACTTTCCTCTCTACATTTCTCTGTTGTGGTTACTAAGTTGTTTCAACACATGCTAGTGTATACCAGTTTCTCCCTTGGCCCAACTTGCATCTTGCCACTGATGACCTTCTTGCAGGTCGAGACAGTTCTCAACACCACCAATCTCTCCAGGGTATAGTATGCAGTAGAGCATATTTTCTGCATATTAACTTTGTTGGGAAGACTGCAGCTTATTGGACTTGTCCTCTTCTTTAGTTGCAATTGCCCAGTCATGTTGTGATGATTCACTTGGACAGCTCCACAATCATTACTTCAGTCAACTGCCATTTTAGGGTGTCACACCTCAGATTTATCAGGTTCTTTAGGAGTCATATAGGATCTTCGTCCAGTGTAACCCATTTTCTTTCTCGTTCTTTTTGGCCTTCTACCAATGGAAATGGACTGTGTACCACCACTGATCTCTCCATCTCTCTCCAGTAGGTCATCCTACTCTTCCAAATCTTTAATCCTTATTTTCAAGAAAGGCCTGTTTGTCTTGACTATTACAGGTTACTGAACATCATTGTTGGCAACTTTCCACCTCTTACCAGGCAATAATCTCTCACTTTTGCCTGTTCTCACAGAGCTCTTTAAGGATAGTTTTGTTCAGTACACACCTTATTTGGTTCTTTGGGCTGTTACATGTCTTCCCCCTTGGGCCTTTGTCCTTCTGCTCCATGCTTGTAGTTGTTGTCAGTTGGACATTTATACCATTGATGCTTCCTGTACTCTCTATTGTAGTGACAGTTGATATTATTACTGCACCACTCCTTTCTTTCGAAGACCTGGGCTACCCGGGAAGGTGATAGGATGTTTTTTCCCATATCTCTACCCCCTATCTCATTGTACAATCATTCTGATTTTGATTGTCTTTTGTGTCCTGTACAGGCTGTCTGTTGCTATTCTGCTTAGACTGTCCCTTTTCATGGAAACTGCCATCACCTGTTTTTACCATACTAAACCTTTTCCTCTCAAGACTTGTCCCCTTCAACTTTAACTGGTTGTGTTTACCAGCTCATCTGAATCACATAGTCTTCTTTATGTGACTGACCAAACATTCTTTAGTGTCACCATCCAACAGATTCAGCATATCATAACCGTATTTGCCTTTTTTATGTCACTTGCCTTTGAAGGAGATCTTATGGACTGTTTTCTTTGTGAGTGGTGACTTCCTCTCAGTAAGGTCCCTCAGTGAGACAGTGGTAAGTCTTTGGATTTGCAACGCTATAATCAGGGGTTCAATTCAATTCAATTCCTCTTGGTAGATACAGCAAATAGCCCAATGTGGCTTTGCTATAACAAAACACACACACACACACACACACTCCTCCCAGTAAGAAAATACCAGTACATTGTACAATATATTTACTTTTTTTTCTGTAATGATGTTTTGTACTATTAATAAATTCACCATCTAGTTGCTCTTACTTCTTGTTTATTACTCTGGTATGTATATCACTTGTGGGTTTCCGTTGTCAGCATTAATATCTAATAATTTGTTTGAGGTGTTTCATATCATTTTTAATATTTTTTGTTAGTTAATAATATAAGCTTATTCACTAAGTTTGCCCTATGCTTTTGACGTTGGACTTTACTATCCACTTCCAAGGTACAGTGGTGTTGTCTTATTAATCTTAGCATTGTTCTTGATGCCAAATGACCTATTGTTGGACAGTGAAATAGAATGATTTAAAGTAGGCCTTTGTCTTTTTTTATTCAGTCTTTTGTTATTGTTGCTCCAGTCTGTATTTGTTGCTGAATGTCCACAGTTGCAAATATATGAAGCTTCTACAAGTTTCATATGTTACTTTGCTGTGTGGATCATACCAGCAATTGTCAAGAGCTTTCATATGATTTGTAAGTAAAGACATGCTTCCTTTTTCATTTTTTTTATGTAGTTTAGTTTCTTTAATATTATTAATTTTTTTATTTAATATAGTTTTGAAAATTTTAAATAAATCTCAACACTTAAAATATGTCTTTGAGTATCTATATGATATTATTGGTTGTAATGAATATAATAATTTTAAATATATATATATGCATATATTTACAATTATGAAGCTTGTTTAGCATTTTTGGCTGAACCCCTTTGATGCAAAGTTAATCAAAATGACTTACTTTGTGATCACCGTGTAACCAACATACTGTGAATTTTAATGTTGTAAGTTATATCTTCATGAAATTCGGCATGTAATAAACATTTCAAGTATTTTGTACACAAAAAATCAATTTCTTCATTAAGTAATTTTATTAAGATTTGTTTGTGTATTTATATAGTTAGCCTACTCTTGTTAACTTTAAAAGTACTTTTTTCAACTTATAGGTATCAAATTTCATTTGCATAACCTCTAGAACCTCTTAAATGAATATCAGAATTGTTTTTTCTATAACTATATATTTTATTTGTTTCTTCTTTACCCTATAAATGCTATACCAACTCAGTCAATTTGACTGACTTCGTAACCACCACAAAAATTGCAAAATAAATCTAAACATTGTAACAGATAATTACACTGTTTATTTTTACAGCTTAAGCTTATAGATGTTTTTTTATTTACAGTTGAACTTAACCCTCTAAGACTATAGCAATAGCTAGTTATTATGCTGAATAGCTTTGTGAACAACAAATCCAGTTATCAGGACGTTTATGTTGAATTACATGACTGTGCTCAAGTTTAGCTTGTGATATTATTGATCACTTTTTATTGCTTACAAATAATATAATAATAGATGTCTGAGAGAATTTCTGATGATTTTGGAAAGCAGGATGTTTTGTGGGGGTGTGGCATGCAACATTTATTTATTGCTCTCTTTATTACAAACTGATAGTTTAGCTTGGGGATATGTGTAGTGTAAGTGAGAAATTCCACAGAAAGTTACAAGGCCATACAGGGGCAGCTGAAAATGTAGAAATGGGCAGTTTGAATTTAAAAAATGTCATATGATACCGAAAGTGAAGATTGACATTTATTTAAATATTTCCTTTTAGAATTAAAAAATCAAACTTACATAATATTAAAATTTGAACTACAAACTAATTTTTGATAGCAATAATTATAAGTAGTTTTGGTTGATTTATTATATGAGATCTGTTTCACTTATGTATAGTTACTTTTATGATATAATATAGTTAGCTACTTTTTGATCAGAAGTTCTTAGGTATTAGAGCATTACATTTTTAGTTTTATACTCTTTTTGTTAAATGTATTTAGTATAGAAAGTCACTACTTACATTCAAAATATTTTTGGTCATGGTTAAAACTTATAAGGCAATTCGCCAAAATGTTAACAGTAGCTATGCTGCTCTTATGAATGGATTTTACTTGTTTATATCAATCATTCTGTCCACCTCTTTTATCTTTACCTTTATTTTATATTTCAATTAATTGATTAACAAATATCACTAATCACCCAAATCTACATTAGATGGCACTACAGTCACAAGAAATGCAAAAACATGCGAAAAGAAAAAAAAAAGACATGAGAAAAAATTGCTTAACATACCTTAAGACTTCATAAAAAATGTTTATTTTGCATATGAAAGCATTGTAATGTTTACTGATAATCTGTCAAATTTTGTTAACATACGCTTACTAATTTAAAAGTTATAGCATGAAAACTATAACAACCAAAAAATGGTTTACGAGGTTGGTGCTGAAAGAGTTAATTGATTACACTGTATTAATCGATTAGTACAGTGTTTCTCAAATTGTATTATGGATCTCCCCATATAGGCAAAAAGAAATAACCCCCAAGAGTTGGCAGTGAGTGCTACTAGCAAGTTGCCTTTCCTCTAGTCAGTAGTTCAAAATTTGTGGCAATGGAAATCGAACTTAATCATGAGGCACCATCATCCCATTCTCCCTGAATTACCAGGTCATACTGGTCCACAGCTGAAAAAACTTGGATTAAAAAAAAAAGTTGTTAAAATCAGGTTTTGACACTTGCAGTGAGCAAAGCACGGGCAGCCCATTATGAGCTTTGAGCATAATAATAAATTAACATAATGGTAATATTTCAGTTATGTAGCTTGTTGGAATATTCAAAAGTAGTAGTAATCAATACAAATTTCAATTAGTTTATTATTTTTATGTCAATCAATTAATCATTATTTCAATTAATTGATTAGTTTTTATTACACTAGCTGATGCAATCCCTGATCATAGGTGATCAATTAAATCACCCAGCCTTAATCTCATGGACACTTTTTCTTATGATAGGTAGTGAACATGTATATATTACATTATGTTTTTATTTCTTTTACTGTTTATGAACGAAACCTTCCATGATTGTGCCGGGGCAAGATCTTTGTAACCTTTTTGTTTCAGTTGCAATATTGTGTCAGTTTGAAAATATATCAACTAATTATAAAGTGCAAACAATAATGAAATAATTTGAGAAATTCTTATTTTAGACATTTTTCTAAATACCTTTTTAATGAAGTTAGATGTAAATAGTATGATGTCTAAACCTTTAAGAATCCATTATTTAAAATTATGATAATGATAAGTATGTAGCCGGAAACTGTGTAAAAATATTTTTATAATTTATTCGTAAATCATGTTAAAGGATTCGGAAAGAATAAGTTATCAGAAATTTCACTAGTTTCCTAAAATATTAAGTTCTCTGAAGTAACAGAGTTCTCTTTGTTCACCTATACACTGACACTGGAGTTAAATTGAAAGAGGTTTTAATCTCTGCTGTGGAGAACTATAGCAGCCACCCCTGTGGTCAGTGATACTTGGCTCATTCAATTGCATTTCGGGGCTAAAGTTTTCCAATCTAACACAGGTAACTAAGGATGTAGGTGACTGTTCGTCATTCGTTTATTTACAGATGAATTAGTTTTTTTGGCTAATATTCTTATATTGGTTTCAAACTATTCACTAAGGATTCAGTTTTAATATTATAGTTGACTTACCTGAATTTAGAAGTGGTTTGACCCACTATATTTTTCAGGTTTATGAAAAGATTGGTATGTGAATTTACTCAAAAATTATTTTATATATTACTTTTAGGAACAACTAAACCATGAAAAACAGCAGCTAAAATCATACTTTGTGTCAGGCCCAGGTCAGTCTTGTGGAGTGACATCTCTATATTTCCTTTTGTATTCCAAGAAACAGGGTAGTGGATCTGAACCACCACCAGAGCATCTTTGGGGAAAGACTGTAAGTTTGGATTTAAATGTCTTGATCTTTGAACTATGCTTTAAATACTGTGTAAGTGCATCTCAAACCGTATTTTGTGTATTGTAAGAATGTTTTTTTTTAATAGAAATGAAAAATAATTGACAGGAAACAATTGAGATATTTTGTACACACAAACTAATTTTGTAAGGTGTACTGAAATCACTGGGACAATCACAGATATGCTGAAGAGAGAGTTGATGAGCAAAGTAAAGAAAGGGCAACATATGAGTGAGCATTATGATTGATGGTACCAGAAACAGTTTCAATACAATATGACATCATTCCACCTCTCACATAAATGCTTTTCTTCATCAATGCTGCCCTCTGTTGGCACAAATTTTTCACTCATCACTAGTCTTGAAACCCCCACCTACTGCACATTTCTATGTGGTTCAAGCTGCATTGTAGCATGCAAATAAACATGTAACAACCCTTCACCAAGAGGAGCACGACACACTCTCTTGTCACAGCTGGTTCTCTATATGCTGTAGAACCCAGTCTTCACTTCTTGATTTGGTACAGTAATGATATGTTAATTTTCACTAAGTTTTTACTGTCTAGTAATCAACTTAGTTGGTGTTTTTTTGCCCAGTTTATTAAACAACTTAGTTGTTTTTCATTTCATTTTATACAGTGATAATCATACTGTAGTTTATTAGTTTTGAACTTCACTACCACTATTTCAGTAGTGACAAGTATTACAACATTTTCACTTGCTGTGTCTCAGGCTACAGGCTTTATACTTTCAGCTGTGAAGGTCACAGTTTTTCAATGGGAGTTGGGATCCATCATGCAACCGACTGTTTCTTCCAAGCCCTGACCTGATACTTCTTTGTCTGGTAAATCTGTGCAAGATTAAGACAATTTGGATAATATTTTCTCCATCTCCTTCCTTGGCGCCATGCTACCTCATTTTCCCACCTGTGGATGCCCCCAGGCTGTCATTAGCTTTATTGGATATGAGGACACAGGTATGTTACCTTTTATTGGTAAACCTCCTCAGTTAGGCCCTCTCCCCAGTATACCTTGTTTTCCTTTCTTCTCCACATATTGGGGTTCATGCTAACCAACTTTTCTAATGCAATGCATTCATGAGGGGGGCAGTTATACCTTGACCCTCTTGGGCTAAAAATAATTATGTTTTTCATATCTTCATAAATTTTTTTTCCATATTTACACTCCCAAAATTAGTGTCATGTATGTTGAAATAGGGTTTGACCCTAATACTTCAGTGAACTTTTCCCAAGACCACTTGCCCCCACCTCTTGGCAAGTTTGGAAGTACACTATTTCCCATATGTTTTTTTATACATTGAAATTTTTTATCCCTAGTTTTTTTCACTTCCAAGATGGCTTCTCTATTACTAGGATCCTGAGTAGAGCTGCATTGTTTGATCACAGGTGCCTACCCATGTCATACTTACGGGGCCTATGGATGGTGCTATTTTTTTTACAAAGGTTAATTTGGGATATTTTCCCATATTATTGCATTTGTGGGTGTTGACTACTCACCAACTCTCCTCCTACTTGTCCAGGGTTTTCTCACCTACCAGGAATTCCATGCCACTAGTGTTACAGGTAACTACCTGTACAAGTTACATGTTACATTCTTCAAGATGAGCTGGTGTTGCCTTACCATGCTGCACAGCAAGGAGTACCTACACTAGATCTGGATCCTACAATTGATTTGATAAGAGATCCTGAATTGTTAATTATTGCATCCATCCACTAATGGAATATCCTATTGTATGGCTTGTTGTCGCTATGACAGAATTGGTTTCAACTCTCACATGGTGCACAGGATCAAGACATTCAAGACAAGGTCTCATCATTTGGCAAAAACTTTCATCTGTGTTTGTTATTGTAGACCTGCATGATAATGTATGATTAAATCATACCCCTATAGTGTTTTTATTTATCACACTATCTACCATTTAAGTAAGTCTTAAAGTGTTTTATGAAGGTCACCACTGAAGGCAATTCTTTCTTTGTTGTATGGTATCTACATTTAGGAGCCATGAATGTATAGCTAGCATACATGATTATATGTTCTACTCTGTCCTGCAACTGTGTTAACACAGCTTTGATTTTACTATCACTGGTGTCAGTGTCTAGCACCCATCTAAGGTCAATGTAGACCTGGCTGTATCTTCCTTCTTCTTGACAATCACTAGTGAGTATAACTAAACTCTCTGAAGGCTGTATGATTCAATCCTTTAGTATTCCCTGTAATTCAGCACTAGCTATATCCATAGTGCTTCAGAGAAGCCTACATAGTGGTTTAAATGGATGTGCTTCACATATATCATTGTGATGTTAAGTGACTCTCTTTCAAACCAATCAACCATCTGGTGTTATAAATACATCATCTTATTCCTCCAACAAGTCACTGAGTTGCTGCCTCTGCATTGGATCTAAACTGCCTGCACAGTCCTCAGTGAGTTATCACAGATGTGTTGTTGTTAATGTATTTATGTTTGGATGTGTCATAATGGATGCAAACATAATCATTAGCATATGTTGCTTTTACTTTGCTTAATATGTCAATGACTATCACAGCATACAGCTATTGGATAACTGATCATCCTAATCACAGAACAAGTCTTCTTGGAAGGAAATAGCCTATTTCATGCATGGGCTCTATAGCTGCATTACTTGACACCAATGTAGTAGACTTTGACTGTAACAAACCACAGGACACCACTTGTGTACATGGAGGTACTGTGACTTCCTTTCTCATATACACTCATGCAATCCACTCTTTGTGAAGTCAATCTGACTGATGTCAGAAAACTCTACCATAGAATGTTAATTTGTCAGTTGCACAGACAAAATTGTCTGATAAGCTCTGCACTACACCCATTCCAAGGAATCTGATGTCAGAATTGAGGTCCACAACAACTGTAAGTGGAACCTCCTAGACATTGTCAGACCATGACCTTTTCATTCACATCTAGTGTAATTCCATTCACCAGAACAAAGTTTGTGCCTATTGGCCTGAGTAGAAGTTTTGCTCAGAGCACCTGATATACTGTGAGGTTTACCAGTATTCTGGCTGCTTTTTTATTAACTGGGAACTCTCACCCTTGCATTTTGATAGGTGCATATCAAGACTAAACCTAGCCACACCACTTTTTTGTTGCAATGTGGCCATGCTCGGATTGGGCTTGTATAGTTTTCTGAAGCTGTAATAGTAGTATTCACTGTTTGATGGAAGCTTTTTTGCTATTGTATAAGAATGACCAAATGATTAAGGTCTATTCAACCTCAGGCTTTTCTGCAATCCATGGCTCTTTTGGCAAATACCTTCCAAGTTAAGGAAGCTCATCACTAGTCCTTGGTCCATTCACTTCATTATTCGCTGCCCTTTGTGTCACCTGCTGGTAAGATATTTCCTTTATGTGAATTTTATCCACCAATAGCACCTCCATTCTTTCTTAGCTAGTCTTAGGTAGCTTTGACCATAGCTGGGCTGTATTACTCTGGCTGCCATAATTATGGGATTCCTATACAGGTTACCCCATTTGGTATCAGACTGACCAGATACCACACCACAGTGATGATATTCAGTCATTCATGTTTCTCTCATACTGAGGTCAATCCTCAGTAGAAGCCATGAACATCCTATCTGGATGCACTAGATGTTGGTGGCTATTCGTAACAGACATAACACAAACACAGAGCAAAATCAACTTGATGGCTTTCTCAGCCAAGTGTTATGTGAAATAAAATATACAGAACAAATGATAAATTCAAAATAAACACTGTAATATTACCAGAAGATAAAAATGCATGGTATATTCATATACTACAGAATATATAAAAATTACTAATTAAATTGTACAGTCAAAGTAAACATTTTTAATTGTTTCTTTTTTTAAAAAAATGTATCAAATTGAAATATTTTTGAAATTTTAAAAGCCACAAGTAAATACAAATATCATATATTAAAAAATATATCTTATTTCCAGAATCTACATATTCTGTTGAAAGTTCTTATGAAGTCTGAAACTATTTGATCTAGTAGCTTATTTTTGAAATGCAATGTAACAAATCATACAGCAGGTGGGTTTAACTTACACACATGGGTGTTTAATAGTTAAGTACAGTCTATTTCCTCACATTATGCAGTGTTCCTTATAATGACAATGTGTTATTTTATGTTGACAATATATTGCAAAACTAAGGTTCTCATAATATTTTTTTATGACAGTATATTGAAGAATCCATTCTGAACATTAACTTTCAAATTGGGCCAGAGGCATTTTTCCAAGTGAACACCAAAGCAGCTGAGGTTTTATACTCTACTGTAGCTGAGTTTGCCAACTTAACTCCAACTACAACAATTCTTGATATCTGTTGTGGCACTGGAACTATAGGACTCAGCCTAGCAAAGGTATGATCTGACTGACATGTATGAAAAATATTATATTTGTAGTTCTCTACAAAAATATGGTATTTTTTTATATATCTTGAAATTCTTAGGGAGTTACAGCTATTTCAAAGTTTTAGAATCCTTTTATAAAATTAATAGCTGTTTCCATTTATTTTTATTTTATATTTGTTTTGTATTAAGATTAAGTGAAAGTTTTTATATATTTTTATGAAAGTTCTTTTTATACTTGACAGGTCTATTATATTTTCATTCTTTATCTAGTCCATTAGGGATTTTCAAGAAATAGAATTTCATTCAATCCAGAGTTTATCAGGCCGGCTGTGATACAACAAGCACAGCAGTGGTTGGAACATTATTCAAACAAGTCATTTGGCACAACAACATTTTTTATAGTGTGTACACATTTTACAAGCTGACAAAGAACGATTACAATTATATTTGTCCTTAGCCATTATTGTTCTATTATATTTTTAAACACTAAATTCTTTATCTTTGAAGAACCAAACAAAGACAGTTGTATGTTTCACAAAAACTTCATTTATTCACAACCATGATCTTACCAGTAAAGGCATCATCAGATTTTTTAATAAAATATTTTTTGTGAACGTGTGAACCCTTTAATGAGTCAGTGTAAGTGAAAAGTTATTTTCATGCTAAGAATAAAAATACTTCTTTCGATATTAGTTTCATATTTCATTTGCATAACCTCTAAAGCCTTTTAAATGAATATCAAAAGTTTTTCATTAAAAATTTATACTTTATCTCATATATTCTTTCCCTAACACTCACTGTAAAATTATCATCAGTGTACAGTGAATTAAAAGTTTGAAAATATAAATAAAAAATACTTTTGTTTTTTCTAGAATGACTTTAGACAATTCCGAAACACACTTCCCTCCTCTCGCACTTTAGCTTTTTATCCCAACAAAAGTTTCTCTGTCCATCTAATTATTGGTATGAATTATACCTCGCTTGCTCCAGTTTTTATACCCCACTATATTGACCATAGCAATTTTAATCTTGTAACTCTCCACCTACATCAGTATGTGCCCTCTATACCAGATCTGTATATAATAATGGCTGAAGATGGCTTGAAAGGGTAATGAAGGAAAACTTTAATATAAGTTTAACATAACAGCAAATGTACAACGTTTCGACAAGGTTTTGTCATCATC